TATATATATATATATATATATATATAGCCACAAGTTTTTTGGGGGACATAGGATCTTTTTTTTTCATTTTTGTATCATATAAAATGCCACATATATAATGCAATCATATCATTTTATCATAGAAGTCATTTATCTCATTTCTCTAATAATGTGTCATTTAAGTGATAGCAAAATAAGTTCCTTTGATATAAATAGAAGCTCACAGAGTAATGCAAGTGAATGATAAAAACCAAAACAACATTGATCATAACTGACAAAACTTAATGAACTTTATAGTAATAAGATGTCATGGAATTATAAGGATGCTGTGAAATTATTGATGTTGAATCTATAGCATTATGCAAAGATAGTGATTTTATTGAGAATTTTTCCAAAGTAGCACATTTTAATTATCATTTATCATTAATTAAAATGGCTATTATAAGAAATGGCCAAAAGGTGGGGAAAAGAGGAAGAAAAAAGATAAATTTTTTCAAACTTTATTTTCCATTCAAAAACATCTAAATCATAAAATATTTTGAGGAACATCGAGTAAATTAAGGTCAATTTATATAAACATTCTTTATGTCGCTCCCATGATAGTTAATAATATTTAACGAGTAAAAACCATATCCTTGCATCGTGGGATTTTCATCAAAGAAGAGTAAGTTATAATCATGTTATGTTGGTTGATATCAAAGTACATGTAAAGCTATCAAGTTATGAATCGAAAGTGAGATCAAGCTTAGCACTACTAGTAAAAAATATGTTATTGATATGTTGAGGAGGTGGGAGAAGTGCTTTCGGAGAGAAACTAATACCTAAAAATTAATAATAGGGAATGGCAAGGATCTCATGCTTTTGAAAGGTTTCCTTCTTTTACTTGCCATGTTGGCTATTGAAATTTGATTAAAGATATCTAAATTCATCAATGATTTGTCATCATTAAATCAATTATTTTTCACTCTAAACACAGTTAGTAATATCGACATTAGAAATATTTTAGAATTGTTGAAGAGGAAAGACGAAAAAAGACTAATTTTCAAAATGAAGTTATCAATAGAGGAGCAATAACAAGCAAATTATATTATTCCCGTCACTTATAAAACTGATTATTATTATAACACTCAATATTTTACAAAGAGATTTACTAAGTGACATTCATCATTGATATTATTATTGGTTCCCTGCAGTATATTTAAGGAGAACTGATCACTCCATTTTAGATCCGAGCCCAACATAATCATTAGGTCCATAGGGCATAAACAGTTCTGGCAAGAACCATTTTTTTCTCCTTGGATTATAACCCATATCCTTACAGAGTTGATCATTGTACCATATATGTATGACCCCTATACTTGATCTTCTGTAATGTTCGCGACTATATTTCTTCATGTATTTATCCCATTCCTTCACATCTTCCTCCATCAATTTTATACGTGGTAGTCGAAATCCACCTTTAAGAAAATATGATAGCCACATTGCCCTGATCTCTGAAGTATATAAGTTTGAGTAGCTCTCTGAGTATCCGATTATCGCCATTTGTGGAATTCTTGGATGGATACATTCTCTAACATATATAAATGTATTTAAGAAGTTAAGCTTTTTAAATCAAAAAATTGTAAGTTTAATATCATAAATTTGAGCAAGCCATAAACAATTTAAAACAGATTTAACTACAAAAAAACCTTAGTTCATACTTATTTTTATATGCAGCAAAAAGCAATTCAGGATATTCTTCTTCAATTGTAATTAGGATGGACATAGAAGAGTATATTTAACCATTCTAGCAAATAATGCATCACTTAATTGTGTTCAGCTCACAAATGCTTGATCATTTTACATGTATGTAAGTATGTATTTCTATGTATGTGTGCGTGTGGTCGCTCATATATGTGCTACATATACGATATACGATAACATATAAATTCTATTATATATTTATAACTTTCAAGTAAATCATATGATCATCATGAAAAGTTCTTTTTTGACTCAATAATTTAATGAAGCTTTGTGTTGGCTCAAACTAAGAGCTTAATACCCATACTTCTCATACATACATTTCCAATTGTGATTATGGGTGCATTCATTGTATTAATATATACTTTTTTAGTCACTAGCATTTACATACATAAAACTTATAAATTTTACTTTTTACCCAAAATTTTCATATCGCATCAAAAATACTATCATTTAAATCATAAAAATGTCACACACACACACACACACATAAGAATTGAGTGGTATAATTCAAAGTTTACCTATAAAGTGGAACGGTATTTTCCGAGGAGCCTGTCACAATCTCTTGAATTGAGGGAGATTTGAAAATATTTCGAAGCTTTTGATCACCCTTGTAGCCAGTAGCAAAGATAACTAAATCAGCCTTTATAGGCACAGATTCACCTTCCAATATTACGCCATCTTGACAAAACTCAAATTTCTTTGAATGTTTCAGAAGGATGCTCTTATTATTCACCCTTTCATAGAATTTTTCGGGCAATATAGCAACTAATATGCTGCTTGCTGCTTCAAAGAAGCTGTGGTCAGGTACCATTCCATACTTCTCTATGGGAGTGATTTTTTTGATATAGCTCTCAACAATCTTAGATATAACCCACCGCTATATTGAAGCAAAAAAAAAAAAAAAAGATTGAATGTTATGCTAAATTTAAGAAAATAAATATAGAGAAAGAAGTTGGCGTAGAGTATTTACTAAAGGAGTAAGCATAGTTGCCAAAAGGCTTAGTATGGTTCCCTCTCCAGGCTTGTGAAAGAGCAGTTCTGAGAAGCGAGTACAACAGTAGTAACTGAAAGGGATACCACAAACTGAGAAATCTAGTACATTCCATCGTTTAGTTCGAACAATCATCGTACAAGGAAGATCCACACCTACAAGTGCACATTTAAGAAAACCGAGAAAAAGGTTACAATCCACATAATTTTTTTATGTGTTTACATATCTAACACCTAAAGTTTGATATTTATATTTCTAATACTTTGATTTTGTAAACTTATGCAAGAAAAAGTTTATTGCACGTTTAAGAAGTTAATAATAGTGGTATTGCTGATGCAATATTAAGGATCTGAGTGGTATGCCTGTAAATACTGAAGTTTATGTGTTAGAAATGAAAATATAAAAGAATTGTGTGATAATGTTGGTAAAGGGCAGAAGAGCCTGAGGTTTCTGCACCGCAGTTTTTCATGTTTTATAAAACACAGGCAAAACTTTTGTCTACGTTTACAAAAATCTGCAGCTCAAAGCTACGTTTTCGCATCTAACCTGACTACCAGAGTTAACTGCTAGAAAGATGCGGTCTAACTAACTTTTTTTTTAAAAAAAATTTGTAATAGCCGCATAGCTTTTTGAACTGTAGCTTTATTTTTCAGCAGCTTCACAGTTGCTTCTTCAAACAGCTACAGTTGCTTCTTCAAACAGCATCAGCTACCCCAAACAGATCATGAGTTATTTTACGTATGTGTGTATAGATGGTTGATGATAATAATAATGACCATACCATTAATATCAGCACATTCTGCAGCAATATCAAGAGCGGATTTGAGGAAACCGATGACAACGATACGTTTTCCATTAACAAATTCCATAGCAGCAGTGCTTCCCATATTGGCTAAGTCCATGGAGTGGATCACCTTGCCATTGAAGACGAAGACCTCAGGGCCTTTATTCTTCCTTTATTCTTTGGAAAGTCAGGAATATTTGGAAGACCACTGAATCTTCCTAAGCAAATTATAACAAAGTCCATGACATGCTCCTATAATGGGGAAACTAATGTTAGTTTGCAGTAGTACAACATTAAAATTTACTTGCATACCACACAATTCTTATCTATTTACAATAACTAAAACCTAATGTTTGATAGTTACATTTATAACACTTTGGTACCATAAACTTATGCACGGCAAGGTGTATTTCTTAATAAAAGAAGTTAATAATGCTTGTATTTTTTATGTGATGTTAACATTTTGAATATTATATGAGTAAATGAGAAAGTTTAGGTGTTATAGATGTAAATGCAAAAAGAATTGTGTGGTATGTATGTAAATGTCCCAATTGTGTGAGATAATTATGATATGGGATTTAAATTATTATTAAAATTAACGAAATTATAGTATAAACTTAACATTATTGTATTTCATTTATATGTAAACATGAATGTTTAAGAATTGTGGACATGTTTTCAAAAAGAATGGTTAAGTTCATGCGAGGATAAAACTTTAAAACTTACAAAAAAAAAAATTACATACATACCACACAATTTTTATACATGCATTTGCATATCTAACGCCTAAATTATTCATATTTACATTTATAACACTAGTGTGATAGAACGTACATGAAAAGGTATATTTCATTTTTAAAAAGTAAGCGATAGTAGCAATTTTTGTATGATACTAATAATTTGAGTGATATACATATAAACATTAAAGTTTACGTGCTAGATACGTAAATACGTAATAATCGTGCGGTATGTATGTAAATGCCCCTCAAAATAAGATGTTTAAGAACTGTATATAGGAAATTTGATAGCATGAATCTCGAGAAAATCAAACGGGCCAGAATAGAAGGGAAAAGACGAATATTAATTTGATGAAAAGAAATATACAAGAACTTATGAGACCCGACCGATTGAATTTATCTAATTGACCGAAGAATGGTCTGTTGGCAAAAACCTACCCTACTGACAGAGGACCACCCAGGCCAACAAATACTTATACTGATCATCTAGAGGTCGACTAGCTGCCCCTCTCAAAGCAGCTCGTTTTCTTGTGGCTAAGGTCGATCGACATCCATACTAAACAGTAGAGCCAAACCAGTTAAGCCGATCGATTCAAAAAAATATTGAGATCTTGAGACCTAGACTTACGAAAATGTTTCAATATCAGTTACTGATACGAAAAGGTGTTAATGTTATTAATTGATGTGAAAGAGTGCAAATACAGAAAACCACGAGCATTAATTATAATTACAAAAAAAGGTCAAAGGAGGCAATACTGTTCGGTCAACCTGAATAATGGATGGGCAAATTAATAAGAATAATGACTTGAAATGCTCCCACTGAAATGTGGTAAACATGTAATTTTATTAAAGATGAATTATGATTAAAAGAGGGATCATTTTATAAATAAATAGGGATATGTTTGTCCTCAGATGGTTTCATGACATATCGGTGGGAGTTATCCGCTATTTCACCGAGTTTAAGAATCTGTTGTGGCACACTTCGTCAGTGTCCATAAATCTCTAAAGAAGTCACAATCTTTTTTTTCGATCAACCAAGGAGAGGCTAAGAGTCTTCGCTCTTACATCACATGTTTTCGGAAGGAGATGCAGAACCTGTAGGCATTAATCCTTTGATGCAAGGAGTTATGATGGAGCGGTT